AAGAAATTCTGTCATTTACTTGCACTCATGTGATTCCAAACTTAGACTTTTGTTCATTTTCTGTGTAAAATACACAAAGTTTTTAGTTGTGTGGACTTTGAATGGATGGACCAAAATGTTAAGAGAATATTAACATCTTTATTTGTGTCCCGAAGATGAACAAAAGTTTCTTTTTTGGGTGAACTATACCTTTATCCTAAGTATTTAATGGAGCTACTCGGTGATAGTCTCATAAATGAATGGATTAGAATTAGATATTGAAAGCCTTAACCGGATTAAAACGATCAAGTATCCACCTACGAGTGAAGTAATAGTTTAAAGTTTTCTTGATGATCTGATTTGGTTGTCTTTTGGTTCTAGTTTGCCTCTGCGGTTCTGGATCAACATTGTAAAGAACCCTCAGTTCATCTTCGATGTGCAGGTGTCAGATAATGTGGACGCGGTTCTGTCAGTTATTGCTCAAACATTCATGGACTCCTGCACTACCACAGAGCATAAACTTGGAAGGGTAAGAGACAAACAGAGAAAGGAACAGGAAGCCAGCAGAGTGGAATATTGACATTGCTGAAGATTAAAAACTGATATTTTTCTTTTTTATTCCGGTTATTTATCTAGGATTCACCTATTAATAAGTTGCTGTATGCCAGAGATATCCCTCGCTATAAACAGATGGTTGAACGGTAAAAATACCTTGGACTACTTTACTACTGTATAGGCCAGGGTTCCTCAAATCTTGTCCTGGAGGGCCGATGCGCTGCAGAGTTTAGCTCCAACCCTGATCAAACTCACCTACCTGTGATTTTCTAATGATCCTGAAGACATTGATTAGCATGCTCAGGTGTGTTTGATTAGGGTTAGAGCTAAACTCTGCAGGAAAGTGGATCTCGTGGGCCAGATTTGAGGATCCCTGGTATAGGCTATATTAGAAAGTCATCTTGTTCTGAATGTCACTGTTTTTCTTAAACAGATATTATGCAGACATCAAGCAGACCATCTCTGCCAACGATCAGGAGATGAACTCTGCTCTTGCTGAGCTCTCCAGGGTATGTCTGTCATTAGTTTACTTCCTTTCAGTTGTAAAATTGGAATAAGTCATTTTTACTGAAGTGAATTTGTAATGGGTTAGAGATGGGGGGTTAGTGTAGCACATACAAATTTTGTTCATAAGATTTACACACTCTACATTTGTTTTTACGGTCAGAATTACTCTGGAGAATTAAATTACCTGGTGGCCCTGCATGAGCTCTATAAGTACATCAACAAATACTACGACCAGGTGAGTCATGACAGGCTAAGATATATTTTAAGACAATGTATAAGCTCTTAGGCTAAGACTATACAAAAAGGTTCAATTTGTTAGCATCAGTTAACTACTATAAGTTAACATGAACTAACAATGTACTTCTACAGCATTAATCTTAATGGTAATTTTAATGTTTACTAATATATTGGGTCACACTTTAGATTGCGGATTCTCACTATTAACTAGCTATTAACTAGGACCTTTTCCCCAGTAAACTCCTAATTTGCTGCTTATTAATAGTTAGTAAGGTAGTTGTTAATTTTAGGTATGGGGTAGGATTAGGGGATCTAAAATATGGTCATGCAAAATAAAGCATTAATTTGTGCTTTGTAAGTACTAGTAAACAGCCAATATGCTAGTAATATGCACGCAAATAAGTAACTAGTTAATAGTGAAAATCTGTCCCTAAACTAGTGTTACCGAATGCTGAAAAAAATACACACCAAATAATATATTTGGGGTCAGTAACATTTTCTTTAAAGAAATTAATACTTTTATTCAACAAGGATACATTAAATCAGTAATTGTCAAACCTTTTACAGCGGCGTACCCACTGGGGCATTTAACAGTCTTCTGCGTACCCCCTCTCTTCCACTTAGACCGCAGTCACACCTTTTCTATTAAAGGACAATATTTGCCCCCTTAAATTGATTTACAGGTGCATTTTTTTTACCTTTATAGAGGCAAAGATTTTCTATCCTTATTAATGGTATCTTATGTCATGTTTTATATACATGTTTTATTCTTAACATTTCATTAAGTGTATTATTAATAAAATAAATAAAGCAATAAATGATGGAAAATCAAAGTGATACTTGTAGACTTAAAAATAAAACCGCCAATAGGTAGCGGCAAGTCACTGTCTTAATGAGCCAGGCATCGCGTCATTCATTCATTCATTCAGTAACGAAGCAAAATGCTGTAGTTATAATCACTGATGCTCCAAATCGTTCATAGCCGCAGATTCGTTCACTAATGAAACACCGCTGTATGTTGCTTGGAGACGCACACCAGATGATACAGATTTCGTTGGAACTATTATTTAGTTGGAAAATAGAACAAACATGACAATATTCTGTTTAAAATGTAGGCTACATTTAAAATGTAAAATGTTCCCTTTAATGGCACATTTGCCATCGTTTGGATATTCAGGGAAATTTGCATTCTTGCTCGTATCTTAAACATGAAAACAATAACACGCACAGAGTGTGTCTTTATCGAGGAGAGTTTAAATCGATCTCAATGTACAGTGCGTGTCAATATTTGCTCTTCATGCTATTAAGTGACGATCTACTTTAAAGATCCATTGAACAGCAGCATGATTTGCTAAAGCAGTAAGTCACTGTCTTAATGAGCCAGGCATCGCTTCATTCATTCATTCATTCAGTAACGAAGCAAAATGCTGTAGTTATAATCACTGATGCTCCAAATCGTTCATAGCCGCAGATTCGTTCACTAATGAAACACCGCTGTATGTTGCATAGAGACGCACACCAGATGATACGGATTTTGTTGGAACTATTATTATTTCGTTGCAAAATAACAAACATGACAATATTCCGTTTAAAATGTAGGCTACATTTAAAATGTAAAATGTTCCCTTAATATTACCTTTTTTGTTGAACTGTTGTAAAAATTAATGTCACCAGGGTATGTGTCTGTATCGAAGAGAGTTTAAATCGATCTCAATGTACAGTGCGTGTCAATATTTGCTCTTCATGCTATTAAGTGACGATCTACTTTAAAGATCCATTGAACAGCAGCATGATTTGCTAAAGCAGTATATTCAGCGGGCATCCTATCATACGCACGCTGCTTGTGTGGATGCAGTCAGTTTTGACCGCAAAAGATGAGGTAAGCTGATTGGATATCATGTATTTGACTGTTTACGGCACTTCCATTTTTTTTTTTTTTACATTAGAAGCGGCATTTTGCTTGTCAGAAAGACATGTTCGGTTTTAATGTTACTTTAAGTTGGGGTAGAATTAAATGAATGCCAAAACTCCGAATTTTGTTCGCATACCCCAGTTTGAGAACCACTGCATTAAATAGATTAAAAGTGATAGTAAAAGAATACTGGAAAAAGTGTACCATGGTTTCCACAAAAAATATTAAGCAGCACAACTGTTTCCAACATTGATAATAATTATAAACATTTATTGCACCAGATCAGCATATTAGAATGATTTATGAAGGATAATGTGGCACTCAAAGCTTTGGCATGACAGGGATTTTTTTTTTCTTCTAAATAATAAAATTGAAATCAAAATATTAACATTTTAAATATATATTAAAATAGAATAACATTTTAAATTGTAGATAATATTTCACAATATTACCGTTTATGTATTTTTGATCAAATAATTCTTAAACTTGTAAAAGTTGGTGTATATTGCTAATGTGTTATATTTGTTAGCTAATGCATTACAAATGAGACATTGTAAAGTGTTACTACTATTAGTAGAACGTTACATTTTTAGAGGCTATTTTCTGCTGCTTCAAAAAATGTGCGTATTTATGTTCTAATTTTATTCCTATATGTGTGTGTTTGTTAGATTATCACTGCCTTAGAGGAAGACACCACCGCACAGAAGATGCAGCTTGGCTACCGGCTTCAACAGATCGCTGCAGCTGTAGAAAATAAAGTGACAGACTTGTGATCATGGACAAAGTAAAGTGAAAGTAATAAGTGTGAAGACACTGATGGGTGGCTATATGAACACATGGTAAAGGTACTTTAGGTACAGTATCAGTTGCAACGCTACCATGTGAAGCAAGTATACACAAAGATCGTGTTCCGTTTAGCTGTATTAAATTGGACTCTACTAATGAAGATAAATTAAGACCCACAGTGTAATGTGATGTGTTGGTTTAGAAGGGTGGAGCCTTTAACTTGAATATGGTCTTGGATTTTTTTTTTTTAAATATATGGAATATGGTTATTCCCATTTCAGTCCTTTTCATTTTAAAAAGCCTGGATGCCTTGTTGAGTTCATGAATACATTATACTCCCAGTGGAGGGATTTTTTTCTGCAGGATTAACATGAAAACCACGTATACATGCTCAAACTCTTGCTTGGTCATGGCCTTACAACAGAACACCATTAGATGTTCTGTACTCTGTCTACCTCCTCGCTTTGTATCTACCATTGTGTTTATGTAACAATTTCTTGTGGCTGTAGTAATTTTGTAACATTTGAATGTGATTCAGCATTTGCAAAGTTGCTAAAACTGTCAAAGCAAAAACATACCACGACTGACTGAAGTAAAATGTTATAGAACATTTTCAGCTCATTAGCATATTGTAAATTGTCATAATGTTCAGTAAGTGTCACTGGAAAGTACAGTATGAAAGAGTGTTTTGTTAACTTTTTTAAATGTATAAATCTTGACTAGTAAGACCAAGTCTAGCAGACTTGTTACATATAGTGTCATTGTTTCAACTAGTCAGGTCAAATAATGTTTAGCCAATGTTTTTTTTTATTTGGATTAATTTTAATCTGCTGGTGTCTTTTTAAGCCTTTTTTTAATTTGAGGTGCCAACATAGGATTTAATGAATTAATAATCTCTTACCACATCCTCTAACATTTCATCAATATGGAATTTTAAAGACTGACACTTTTATGTAGGTACATTTAAAGGATAGAAATCTCTAGCCTTCATGTGAGAAAATATGATCTGTATTGTATGTAAAGTTGTGCTCAAATATATTAGTGCTGGTCCACTGTATAGGTAAATAGACCACTCACTTGCAATTAATTTCCTTTGATCAAAGACTGTTCTCAAACACTGAATTATCACAAAAATGTGAGTTAAATAGAAATTGTCAGAGAAAAGATGTGACTGTGTCATATTTACTAATATTTTTAGTGTAGTACAATGTAAATAATGACTGAATTGTTACGTAGCTTCTTAGCAAATTCAAAAAGAGTAAATTATTATAAGACTTATAAACTGTTCTTTAAAAGAGGTTTAACAATCAGCTTACAAGTTTAATGTTAAGCTGTTCTATAGGTTTTTGGTTCTGAATGTATGTGAATTATGGGAATACAAATGAACGATTACTTGATACGGTGTCTTTTCCATAACATCACATGAAAACTAAAGTGACTGTGTTGGGCGTTCAAGGTGAACTTGATGGCATCAGTTTAATAATTAGGATAAATAAAGTTTAAATTTGGAGAGCTCTGCCAGTCTCTGTTCTTCTTGGTGCTTAAAACTTATTTGGTATTAAAAATGTTTATTAGGACTAGTCTGACATAATTTCCCGTATTGTCTTTTAATTAAGCGGTTATCTTTTGAGAATGACACTTTGCATAACTGCCCACCACCACTGCCCACTGAATGCTTATAAAATACAATGCACCCTTCCTTCGTTAGACTTTATGACAAGCATTAAACTGCACTTTCTCAAAGAATCCTGCTGAAGATATTTCAGAGTATCTTGGTATTCTCTATGGGTGTTTCAACAGTATGCAGGTGCCAATTCTGTTTAGCGTAGCTTATTTTAGAAAGACGTCTAAACATTTCATTTTGTGACATAAAAAGACATTATATCACGTGTGATATAAAAAGTACAATTGTACATTTAAATGTATTAAAATACTGTCGGCTTACACCAAGAAGATCCCCAATTTAAGCCCAAGGTTGAGCCGGGAGGTCTTTTTGTATGAAGTTTGTATGTTCTCTTAGTGTTTGCATAGATGTTGTCCATTGACTCCAGGTTCCACAGTTCAAAGTCAAGCAGGTTAGGTGAATTGGAGAATATGGATTGCCCTTCTTTGTGAATATGTGTCTTTGTATGTTAGCTCTGTGATGGACTGGTTACCTGTCAAGGGTGTATCCCTGCCTTCCGCCTGAGACACTGGAATGTACTCCCGTGACCCTACATAGGGGAAATGTCATAAGAAAGTTGAACCATACCTTGCTCCTACAGAGCTACAATCCTGCAGATTTCAGCTCCAACCATAATCAAACACACACAATCCAGCTAATCATGGAGCTGAGGGGAACTTGAAAATTCTATCAATAAGTAGCCCTTCTTGGTAAAATATTTGGGCACGTCTAATTTACATACACTACCAACATTGTAACAATGCAAAGCTGGTTGAAAATTGGTGAACTTCTCCTTTAAAGGTATGTTTAAACCTGTATGAATTTCTATCTTCTGTGGAACAAAAAAGACAGTATTTTTATTTTTATTTTTTTTCATCCAGACAATCAAAGTTAATGGGGTCCAATGTTGTGTGGATCCTAACGTTCTTCAAAATATATTCAAAATACAAATACAAAATATATGTTCTGCAGAAGAGAGTCTTGCATGGAAAGAAATTGGACAGAGGGTGAGTAAATGATTATAGAACATTAGCATTAACTAGCATTAGCATTAACTATTCCTTTA